CGGCGAGGGGCATCCGCCGGGAGCGGAGCTGAGCCAGGGCAGCGCCGCGGCCCCGTCAGCCGAGGAGGGCGGCGAGGAGGAGGAAGAAGAGGAAGAAGGGGAGAAGGAAAAGGAAAAAGAAAAAGAAAAGGAGCGAGAGAAATTGTCGCCCATCCCGTCGGCGTCCACCGCGGCTGCCGGGGTAGGTCCCGTCAGCGCCCGGGCAGCCGCCCGCGGGCCCGCCCGTGTCGCTCCGTTTTCATTTGCTGTGTTTGCCGCTTTATTGGGGAGGAGAAAGGGAAGGGGGAAGCATCGTCTTCATTTTCTTTCATGTTCCTTTCCGCTGAGAGGCTTTCATTCAAGTTTCTTAAAAATAACAAGTGCATCTGTAAGCAATGACATAATGAAGCTATAAATTCTCCATCCACTTATAGTTAACATTTTACAACGGTCTGCTCTGTCGGGTTAGTCATGACTGAGGATTTGCAGCATTGTGAATGTTCATTAAGGGTTCTCGGGGGTGGAGGGTTTCAGCTCTAATACACTTAATGACAAGAGAGGTAGCTGGGAAATACTTCAGTATTTTTAACTTTTTCTTTAAAAGTCTTTTCCGGCTTCTTGTGCTGAAGCAAAGCTCACAGAACATTTTGATGTAATGATGAATGAATTAATGCACGGAAAAAAAATGGGGAAAGGATATTTGCTAGAATAACTTCATTTAAGAAATCTTTTTTCAGGTTTTTAATTATACCAGAGTTGTGTTTTTCTTTATGCTGACCGTACAATATTACAGAACGTAAAATTTTCCTGGCATGAGTTGGATATCTTGCATAGCTTAACATTAGAACTTGTGGTAAGTTACTTCAGTCCAACAACAGAAATGTTAGTAATCTCGTAGTAATACACTCAGGAGATTTTAGTTCAGCAGTTCTGAACTTATTAGAATTATCATTTAAATTATCATTTATTTAAATTCATAATTTAAATTTAAAAGATTGTGCATATAATATTTATGACTGTCAGGAAATAATTGTGATGTTA